ATTTTGACTTGATCAAATTATTGTGGGGGTCATAACCCCCTAACCCCCCTGCAAATTATGCCTATGTCCATAGGTAAATAAATGTTCAACCTTTTATTTCTCCCACTCTGCTCCCACAGCTTGCTTTGCGTCCCTTTCACTCCTGTCATGTTAAGAGTTTTCCAGAGAACATCAAGGCTGAGTAGAGCTCCAAGACACCCGTGCATCCAAAGTGCTGCRTCACCTACAGCTCAGTTTTTACCTGTAGACCTCCAGAGTCCTCTCCCCGTCTGGGGCTCTGCTCAGTTCAAGGTCTTTTGTCAGAATCTGCACAAAGAAACAGATGGACACAGACCATCGCCCGCTGCAGCTCCAGAGAGACGGCCTTTCTCCAGACTATCTGGGGAAGATCTGGACTATTTCAGGACCATCCTGCCGGGCAGAACCATCACTGACCCCGACCTGGTGGAGTCCAGTAATGTGGACTGGCTGAAGTCTGTGAGAGGTGAAATAGACACGACTCAATTTGTCTTCCTATATCGTGTAATAAGTTCCTCAGATTTATTGCAGTTTTGTATTTTCTTCTTATATTTGTTTCTGTCCTGCAGGGTCGAGTGAAGTCGTACTGAGACCTCAGACAACAGAGGAAGTATCACAGATTCTCAGGTAAACTACAGACTGTAATTAAATAAATCCAAGTGTGGACCTCTTTATGTTGGGTTGTTTTCATTTTACAGGTACTGTAACAAAGGAAACCTGGCAGTGAACCCTCAGGGAGGTAATACAGGGCTGGTGGGTGGAAGTGTGCCGGTTTATGACGAGATCATCCTCTCCACCTCTCTTATGAACAACATACTTTCTTTTGATAACATCTCTGGTAAAGATTCAAACCTTTATCCAAAACTATGTTTAACAAAACAACAACAACAACTCTGCTTTGAAAATTGTGCTTAGGTTTTGTTTTTCTTTTCCAGGTGTTCTTACCTGTCAGGCAGGCTGTGTCTTGGAGAACTTGTCTCAGTTTCTGGAGGAGCAAGACCACATCATGCCGCTGGATCTAGGGGCCAAAGGCAGTTGTCAGATCGGGGGCAACGTGGCAACGAATGCCGGCGGGCTGCGGCTGCTGCGATACGGCTCGTTGCACGGCACRGTGCTGGGCCTTGAAGTGGTGAGTGGAATATACACTTAGCACAAAAAGTGAGGACGCGTGTTTGGTGGAACATTTCTTTGTTGTAACAGTGCTTGGCAGGAAATCTTACACCCTTGGAAGGTCTGGTAGTTTCCCTTTTAAATGGAGCCACATTTGTAAGGAACAAACATTTGTGAGATGAGCAGTAGAGCTGAGCATGTGGGTTGTACATGTTACGACTCGGCTCAGCCAGGTAAAGAGGAGGCAACATCAAAACCAGATGGAAATTGGTTTAAAGGTGAAAAAGCGATTTATTGTGACCACTTGTTAAAATAAACTAAATTCTAACAAAAAGAGGGTACTCCAAAAGTACAAGATGGTTTGCGACTTTTAAAACAAAACAAATAAAACAGAAGAATACCAACTAAGAATAAGTAGTGATGTTACAAGCTTTAAAAAGCAAACAAAAACACCACTTTGAACAGTGACCCAAGGTCACTGGAATGTTAAATAAGATAGGTCTAGTAAACAAAACAACTAAACAAAACCCACAGGACAACTCTAAAGTTTGCACCAGTGCTGCCACGTGGCAAATGTTGAATTGTCGTATCAGCAGCTCAAAATGATTGTATTTTGAAGACAATTATCGTACACACCCAGTTTGCAGTCTAGAGAGGCTCAAATTTACAAAAGCATCCTGCCACAGTTCACAAGTGCTCTTTATTTGACAAACTACACGTTCTTTTGTTTATAATCAAGTTAAAAGGAAATATTAAATAAAATATTGGATAAAATGACAATAATAAAATGTAAAATAATAACATAAGTCAAGTTAAAATGAGATCAGGAAAAGAAGAAATCATTGTAGTTTATTGTGCTTTTGATTAGTGGATAAACAAATTGAGTGCATAAACTGTGCAAATTTAATCTGCAAGCTTCAAAAATATTTTTTTTTTCTTTAAAGGAGACCAGTTATGGGTCCTATAAATTTTTATGGTATGTCTGTGGGCTATCCAGATTCATTCAATTTAATGCACAAAATAATTCTCAGATAATAAAATTTCCCATTTTCTAGTTCTGCCTGCTCTGACTTCTGTTCAGAACGAGCTGTTTATGTTAATGAGCTCTGTTGGTAACGCCCTCCAAACTCCGTCCTCCAAAGCCGGTGTTTACGTTAGCATGGCTAGAAATAGCAGAAGCTCCGTTGTACAACCACATGAGACCCTGAGTCAGACTCAGAGGCAGAGTCGTGGTCGCAGCTTTTTTTTTCTCCCCCTACTCTGTCGGAGCTCTGCACTCACTCTGCATGCTGTTATCAGGGCAGGTAATGGGAGCAGCAGCGATCAAAATACCTCAGAAACTCCAACAAATAGGCTAAAACTAATCATTAGAGGTACATGAGATAACGTGTTCATAACGAACGAAAATAAATAAATAAATAATTTAATTGTTTCTGTCCGTGTCTGTCTCGAACCCTGGTCTCCAGCACTCTGGTCCAACACTATACCCATAAACTGGAGGCTTGTTGTGAAATTAGCTGTGCATTGCACAACAACAACTGTGATGGCTTTTTATACTGAGGAGGTGGAGCCTCACCTGGGGGTTGCTAGGCTAGGTGAGGGGCTGAACGCAGGTTCCGGTGGGTTGTCATATGGCTTGTGACATCACAAAATGTAGGAAGTAAAAAAACTTGTCATTAATATACATTAAAAATACATTTACTTACAGGAAATATGCCCCATGGTGCATTATTTTGGTCCTAGGACTGTTTTTTAAAGAAGTACATACCTAAAGTTGAGTAAAAAAAGCTTTAAAAAGTGAATTTTGCATAATAGGTCCCCTTTAAAAACAGCCTCTGTATAGATGACACTTGACCTGGATGATTGTCAAATTTAAATGTTGCTTCTACCCATCACCTTCTCAGTCCCACCCTTTCTTTCTGATTTTATAGCTACCATTTCTTTCATATAAGTGCTGCAGTTATATTTATCTTTGCTGCTACTTATTGGCATCATAACCATAATGTGGGAGCGGGGTATGGGTGTTCTCCCCCAGAAAATTTTGAATGAAGTAGGTGCTGTTTCCTACATTCTGGTGAATTTTAACAAGTTGTTAAACATATTTTTAAACTACATAAATAAACTCATAACTATTTTACAGACAGATTCTTCGTTCAACTCAATATATGAATCATCATCTTTGTGTTGCATTGGATGTTTGATACTTTGACCAGCAGTGTTTTAAGAGGGTAAAAAAAGCCTTCTCTTTAGAGACAGTAGTATGTCAAGAGAACAAAAAATAAAGTTTCTTCTGTTGCTCCTTTTTTAAACATTATTATTTTACTGTTACAGCTCTAACCTCATTTTCCCTGGTTTGGGACCTGCAAAAAAGACACTTGAAGTTATTTTATTGGGATTTATTTTAGCCATAGAAATGTTTACATTAACATTTCTTCATGAATCAGTCAGCAGCAGCTTCTCACTAACATGATTCGTTTCCAGTCTGGATGGGATGGATATCTGCCTGCAGCAGGGAGCGAGACGCAGCGTGAAGAAGCCTCCTGTCAGTGCTCTGGGACCAGGGCAGAGCTCTCAGCAGCACCTGCTGCGTTTATGTCAGAGTCTCTACAAGTCTCAATAACACCAGAAGAAGAGTCAAGGACTGCAACTAATGATGATTTTAATAATCGATTAATCTGTTGATTTTTTTTTTTTTTGATGAATCGATTAATCGGCCAAATCATTATAACGGTTAATTACACGAATATGAGTAGATATAAATTAAGTTAACTCCTTAAGGATTCAAGTTATTGATCAATGAATTAATCTGAAGTTGATTTATCTTATAGACTGATTAAAGATTAATTAATAAGCAGCCATTTAAAAAAAAACAGAGTTTTCTCTTGAATCAAGAGGGTCTTCCCATAAAATGAAGGATTTTTTTATAATCTCCTGAATTAAAAAACAGAAGCACATAATACATATTTTAACAGTTTATTTTGCCAGCTGTATTAAATAC